TCGCTCTCTCTCTCTCTCTGTGTGTGTGTGTGTGTGTGTGTGTGTGTGTGTCCAGTCAAATTGAAAAATGATAATAACAAATAAAATAAAATAAATAATTCTTTTTAAAAGGTCTTTCAGAGCCAGCCAGGTGGCATAGATTAAGGCAGCTGGTCCCAAATGCTTGACTACACAGTTCCAATCCTGGACCTAGCAGCTTAAAAATCACACTGGGCACATGTGCGTGTGTAGATGTCCAAAATTCTGAGAGAAGAATGGAGAACAAAGATTGTGGCATTGCTCTCTCTTTCTCTTCAGCAAGCACATGATAGCTATGGCAAAACATATATGTGTGTGTGTGTGTGTGTGTGTGTGTGTGTATATATATATCTTTCGGACATCCTGGTCCACAGCTAGATTGGATCCCTATCTGAGACCCTTTTCTCAGAACTCAGAAGAGAAAAAGAAGTGAACAATTAGCACCCTAGAGGCCCCCGTACTCAGGCAACCACCCCTACCACCATTCGTGCCCCAGAGAAAGAGGGTGGAAGGAGCACAGCCACTGTCTGGACCATTTCCCACACCCTGGACTGCAGGGTTGGAGACTGAGCCCCATCCCACAAGTCTTTAAGCAAAGTCAGAGTACAGAGGCCCAGGAGTTCCTGTGTTCTGATGCTCTGTGTTCTCAGAGCCCAAACTGCTTCCACTCTGGCCTGTAACCCTCATGGCCTCCCACGGCCAAACCCTGCCCACCATTCTGGGCAGGAGCATCAGCCTGAGTGTCAGACAGACCTGAGTCTGAAGCCAGGCTGTGTCCGAGCCGGAACAGAGAGCCGGGAACAGACATGGGGAGCTAGAGGATGACGCATTGGTAAAATGCGATGCTCTGCAAGGCCGACCCATGTGGGAAGGTCCTGGGTTCATATCCAGAGACCTCCCTGAGTACTCCAGGCACACGGATGCCCAGTGCTGGCCAAGGCTGGAGGTGGATCATGGCATCAAGACCCTGTTGGGGGCACCAGGACGTAGAGTGGTGGTTAAGGCACTGGACTACCACATGGCTGACCACAGTTTGAGTCCCAGACCTGGTGGCCTGCTGTCTCACTTCCCCTTTCTCTTTCTCTCTCTCTGTCTCTCTCTGGTCAAATTAAAAAATAATCATAATAACAAATAGAATTAATTAAATAAATTATTTTTTTAAAAAAAGATCCTGTAGGAGTCTCTCTCTGTCTCACTTGCTCAAAGAAGAAAAATAAACTTTCAAAAAAAGGGGGAGGGGGGCAGTGCACTTGGTGAAACTGGTGCTCACAGAAACCAACATAAATCAAAGACATGAACACTCTTCCCAGAAACACCCAACTTGAGAGATGTATTTCATGTGCTCTGATCATCTCAGAAAGGGACTAAGAAGAGCAGCTTCAGAGAAAGCCAGGTGACTCAGGAGAATGAGCAGTGATTTCAGAAAGCATGGGGTGTTGCTCAGGAGGAAGTGGTTTTAACAAAGATTTTTTAAGAGATCAACGTGTAATACTAGGAATGTTTTACTGCAGACGAGTTAAGACTTTAGGTTTCAGATTTAAATCTTGACTCCACCATATTTTAATTAAATCAATCAAGATCTTTCGGTTATGAGAGACAAGTGCAGCTCAAGCTCAATGAAGCAAAAAAGGTGACTGACGGGTTGTGTTACGTAGCATACGGTTGCTGGGGTTCTTTGTTTTGTTTTGCTTTGCTTTATTTTTGGAGGGGAGAAAGCCAGAGAGAGAGGGAGAGGATAAGGCACCTTCCTGGGGAAAGGTCACACCACAATCCCTTCTCTTCCATCTCTTTCCATCTCTCCTTCTCCTTTCAGGATTTTGAGCACACACACACACACACACACACACACACACACACAATCTGGGGTGTGTCTCAAGCCACCAGGTCCAGGATTCAGACCTCATGATTGGCCATGTGAGATCCAACTGCCTTAACCCCCAGGCCACAGAGCTGGCCTGGTCACTGCGATAACTCACAGGATCCATGAGCTGCAGCTCTGGGGGCCCGAATGGTGAGCTCAGCACCATCCCTCCACCCAGTCGCCCATCCATCCCTCTCTCATACTTTGTCTCTTTTTGTGAGTTGGCTTCACTCTTACCATAGTAGAGCAGGCCTCTGCATATAATGAACATGCCACAGATGGCTCCAACTTGGCAAACTCAGTTCCATATGTTAATCCAGGGAAGAGTTCTGATTGGCTGTGCTTGGTTCATGTGCTGAGTCACGTGTGCTAATTTCTGTTGCTCGGGGGCAGGTGCGGTAGTTGGCCAGTGTGGGTCGGGTACCCAGCCCTATGGTCAGGACATCTTACTGAAAGAAGGAAGGCGGTGACTACAGTCACCACAGTTGCCATGAAACCTCACAAACACCACGTAGCCTCCCTCGAATCATCACTGCCCTCTTCTGTAACATGGGTATACCAGTGCCCACTCCACAGATCGAATGGGATAATCCATGTGAGGTACCTGGGAGGGTCAGTGTATGTCGTTCTAACAGTGTTGCATCTATGTAACACTACGGAAGAGCCAAGGTCATAGCCAAGATGGGCTGTCGGACATGTCAGCAGCTTAAAACCATGATCAGGGCCAGCCCCGTGGCCTGGTGGCTAAGGAAGCCAGATCCTGTGTGGACAGGAAAGAGGTTTGAATCCCAACCCCAGCAGCTAGGAAGTCACGCCAAGCACGCACATGTGTGTCTGTGTGTGTGTGTGCGTGCACATGCCCCAAACCCCAACAGGATGAGAAATGGACGAGAAGGGTGTATGGCATAATCATCACCCATTTTGGGGTGCTTCCTCCCTCTTTGTCTCTCCCTCTCTCTCTGGCAAACGCCACACGTCCACTAACACACAAGGACTATGATCTACTCCTGTTTTCCCTGTCAATATTTACTTATCCTTTGATCCTTGTTTACATCAACTGCTTCTTTCAGATGTTAACAGTTTTAGAAGGGGCCAGCAGGTGGCGCAGTGGTTAAAGCACCGGACTCCCACATGGTCCACTGTGATTGGAGTCCCCGACTCAGAAGCTTGAAACACACTGGGTATGGATGTGTGTGTGTGTGTGTGCGTGTGTGTATCTGTGCGTGTGTGTGCACCCGCGCGCGCATGCCCAAAATCCCAAGAGAATAGAAGAGAAGAGATTGCAGAGTTGCCACCCCACCACCCCTTGTGGGAGGTGATTTCTCTTCCATCCCCCCAGGGGGGAGGTGATTTCTCACTTTCTCTGTGTCTCTCTCTCCAGGAAGCGCATGCTCCCTATAGCAAAAATCTCTCTTAAAAAAAAAAAAAAAAGTTTAAAAAAAAAACAGAAAAGAAAAACTTAATATTGAGGAAAAATCTGTTCATTTGTTCTTTATTCTTTCTCATTGTTTGGAAAAGGTCATATTTTTCCCATTATAATTGGCAAAACTTTAGGTCCAGCTTCAAAAATTTGCAAGGTCGGGAACCAGCAGTTAGCGTAATGGTTATGTCGCTGGACTCCCATGTAGTTGACCGCGGTTCGCATCCCGGACCTGGTGGCTTAAAACTCACGCTGGGCACGTGTGCGTGCGTGCCCAAGATCCCGGGAGGAGAATGGAGGAGAAGGGATTGCGGCGTGACCATCCCCCTTGGGGGGTGATTTCTCCCTTTCTGTCTCTATGTCTCTCTCTGTCTGGCTAGCGCACGTTCCCTATAGCAAAAACCTCTCCAAAAATTTGCGAGGTCTTCAAAAGTTTCATGGAAAATTCATGAAAATGATGAAAAAATGATGCACGAGTTTCAAAAATTTTTTGCACCAAAATAAACATATACTTTTTATTTTTTAGCTTGCTATATAGTGTGTGCACACACTAGAGATACATAAAGAGTGAGAGAAGAAAAGTGAGAAAGCACCCCCCAGGAGGGACGACCACAATGCAGCCCCTTCTCCATTTTCATCTTGGGATTTGGGCTTGCATGCATACACACACACACACACAACATATTTTTCAAGCGTTCAGAGCCAGGATTCAAACTGCACAGTCAGCCATGTGGGGTTCAGCCACCTTAAGCACCATGCCACCAGCAGGCCCTTAAATACACGTATACTTTAATTCCAGTGTTCCACCAATTCTTTGAAATCTTCTTGTGGAGAAGTCTGGTGACAATCTAGCTTGATCTATTCAATGCCTCCTCATCCCCCATTTCGTAATAAGAAATTGATTCCTGATACAGGGCTAGAACACGTGTCATCATCCCATCGTACATATGCAACCCTTTAAGGTCATCCACCTACAGTTACCTGGGCTACTTACCAATTAGCCTCTGGTTTGTATTTCTTTTTTTTTTTTTCTTTATAAGAATCATTTATTTACCAAAAAAAGGGGGGGAGAGGGGAACCAGCAATTGGCATAATGGCTATGTCACTGTGCTCCCTTGCAGTTGACTGTGGTTCGAGTTCTGGACCCGGTGGCTTAAAATCACCCTGGGCGCGTGTACGTGCGTGCCCAAGATCCCGAGAGAAGAATGGAGGAGAAGGGATTGCGGCATGGTCATCCCCCCAGGGGGTGATTTCTCACTTTCTGTCTGTCTCTCTCTCTTTCCAGCAAGTGCACATGCACTATAGCCAAAAGTTCTCAAAAAAAAAAAAAAAAAGAATAATTTATTTGGAACCAGCGCATGGTGTTGTGGTTACATTGCTGGACTTCCACATGGCTGACCACAGGTCAAGTCTTGGGCCCACGGCTTAAAACTCATGCCAGGGGATCCAGCAGATGGCATAGTGGTTAAGACGCTGGATACTCCCACATGGCCAACCAAGGTTCGAGTCCTGGACCTACTGGCTTGCTTTCTCACTCTCTCTCTGTGTCTGGTCAAATTAAAATAAACAAATGAATAAAAATAAAATTAAATAAATAATTATTAAAAAGAAAAAATCACCTCATGCCAGGCGTGTGTGCTTACGTGTCCAAAATCCTGAGAGGAGAATAGAGAAGGGATTGTGGCATGGCCATCCCCATAGATAGGTGATCTCTCGTTTCCTATCTCTCCAGCAAGCACAGTGCTCTACAGTAAAAATATCTCACTGAAAACATTTTAAATTATTTATTTAATTTTATTTATTTATTTTATCTGACTAGAGAGAGAGAGAGAGAAAGCAAGCTGCCAGGTCTGGGACTCAAACCGCCGTTGACCACGTGGGATCCCAGTGCCCCAATCAACCCACCATCTGCCAACTCCTGTATTTCAATTCTTAAAGAGACTTTCCTTCTGTAAAGAAATTGAGCTGATTTCTGGAAGGTTTGGGTTTACCATGAAGTCATAAGAATTCATAAGAATCGGTCTCTCAGAACAAGTTTGTCCCTGGCAAAAGTGACAAATGACCTTCCAAACTTGCCCAGCTTCTAGCTGGGTAAACAGCTGCTCCTAAGAAGGAAAGATGGCAGGGACCAGCAGTTAGCATAATGGCTATGTCGCTGGACTCCCATGTAGTCGACTGCGGTTCGCGTCCCGGACCCGGTGGCTAAAAACTCACGCCAGGCGCGTGTGCGTGCGTGCCCAAGATTCCGAGAGGAGAATGGAGGAGAAAGGATTGCAGCGTGGCCATCCCCCCTGGGGGGTGATTTCTCTCTTTCTGTCTCTCTGTCTCTGTCTGTCTGGCGAGCTCACGCGCCCTATAGCAAAAACCTCTCCAAAAAGAAGGAAAGATGGCAGACAGGC